ACAACATGATTAAATTCCAACATCATATCCTTGATCTCAGCAGCCACTCTGAAAAGCTCTACCTGTAACTGCATGAAGCTTTGGGGGACATCTAGACCTGAACTGTAACAAAAACAGAAGTTCTGCATTTATCTAATTATAAATAGCTGGTATAACATTCATTGTGGATGGCAGGGCTGCTGTTTGTCTAAGATGTCAGGCTATTTTCCATTGTCAAGAACACTGTCCTCCATCCTCCAAATAGGAGCCAAATCTTCAGTCACTGTGTTACCTTCCTAACATCCTCCATAGACTGGCACACTGAGAACCACTGACCTGATTGGAAGGCAAGACACTGGAAGGAGTAGACCGTACCAGATACCTTCAGCAACTGCCCAGGAAAACAATGAAAGGGATATTACACCTCGAGACATCAAGACGTGCAGGGATTAAGTCTTAGGCATTGCCAAAACCTGACTATTTAAAGCTGGAATCAGACAGAACAGGAAGAGGAATGTGCCTTTGAGTTCAGCTGAACTGAAGACAGGGAGCTGAGAGGAGCTCAGAGCTGGAAATGCTCCCAGCAAGGGAGGCAGAACTGTGATGTGTTGATAAACGCCCAGTACCTGGGTGTCAGTGGTACAGAACTGAGATGTTGCAGGCTAGGCCTCTCGGGAAAAGTGACTGGCACTGAAGGAGGCCACCTCTTTCCCTCCCGGTGTGCTTTCTCTGCCACTGTCTGTCTGTCTGTCTCTCTTTCTCTCATTATGTTATTAAAATAGAATTTATACCCCAGGTCTCAGCTGATCTCCCTGAAATTCAGTCCAGGTAGTAAGTGATTCTAAGGATAGCAAGAGTAATCACTGCTGATGAATTTTTACACAAATAACTAATATTATGCTAGGAGTGTTGGAGATGATGAATCTCACTGCTGTTTAAAATACCTTGAACATGTGTATTCTTACTTAGTTGGAACAATGACTTGTATCAGTGACTTTTTATACAATTAAAAACAAGTTATTCAGTATTTTAAAAGATATGGAAAGGGGATAATTTTCATATCATCCAATCTAGTATGAAGAGACTAATGGATATTTTAAAAATTGAATAATTAAAATGATTAGTTCTGCATATAAAATATCCCCTATTTTTCCACTCTATGCCTGTCCTCTGACTCATTGCATTATTATTAATTTTTCTGGCTAAATATTGGCAAGAGTTTTAGTTCTTTATAGGTATTATCAAAAAATGTAAGCAGTTTTACTTTTTGTGTATTTAGTCTTCCAAAAGAAAAAGAATAAATGTATTTATGAAATATAATGAGCTGAGCTATTAAACAACTATGATTTTTAGCTGCTTTAATGAAGTCGTTTCATCCTTCTTTACTTGATTCTTTAAATTTATTTGTTACAATCACCAAATCTTTATAGATGGTTAGACAAAAAACAAAAACAAAACAAAAAAAACCACCGCCACAACCACTAAAAATTACCCATTATTACACCATAGTTTTGAGCAATGGAGGAAGCCAAAAGTGTAATAGGGTTTTTCTTTCTAAAGGAACTTAGTGATAGAGCAGAAAAAAATTATTAACCTATATATCTACTTAATTCTATTTGTTTTAATTCTGTTTGTTCCCAATGCTTTTAGAACTTTAAATCATATTTAAGTTGCTTCATGTTGACACACAATGGACACACATTTGCCGACTGAGCCTCTCCCTTCCTTTCCTGAGTTCTCAGATAGACAAGTTCTCAGTGTCTTAGAAAGAACCGTCCTGGTTACGCTGTCATCTGCTCTGCTCTGCTCATCTCTCCATCCTCCACCTTAACCACTGCTGGGCTTACTGCTTTCCCTGGTAAACACTCGCCATGCACGTGTTAACTTAATAAGACTTACATAAGTTCTTGTATAACAATTTATATGTGGCAGGTATATAAAATGATTCATTCAGTAATTTTGCAGCAGTCCTACACGAATGCCATAAGACTATTAAACTAATGTGATGATTTATTCACCTTTAGGCTTTGCCAACACTAATAGGAATTTCAATTATTAATTTCCCCAAATACTTGAAAGAATATTTTTGATAAGCCCACTCACCCATTTTCTTATTGTCAGGCGTGACACTTTCTATTTCAGGGCCTTTATCTGCCTCTCAGGGCAGTTGTTGCCTTTGGTATGTTTAAATACATGTATTTTAAAGCTCGTGATGGAATTGGTATTACTTTTGTGGACAAAGGAATCTGGTAACAAACAGTAATAATTGCTTATCATTTTTCTAAGAAATTTTAAAGGGATACATGATTGTGAAAGACAAAATAAACAAACCAGATAAGTGTACTTTTTGTCACTAAGTTCTTTTAGAAAGGTGAAAGACACATTATTATATTTTATTCAAAATTATGGTGTAGTACTGGGCAAATTTTTTATTTTATCTAATGCTTTTCTTTTATGATTTCTGTCTTTATTTTTGCACAATTTTTATGATTCATTGGTTTCCATATACAATATATGTGTGTGTGTGTGTGTTTCTCCCCAATTAACTTGTAAGTACTTTAAGGGCAAGAACAAAAAAAATCTCTGAATACTGCTTTTGACCTCCTTGTGTATCTGAACTCAAAATAGGACACAATGATCTACTCATCCTTAGTATATTTTCTAGTTTGTTCTTGGGCTGCCGATTTGTAGAATGGAGTAAATGTGCAAAGAAAGTTGACAATTTTCATCAGACATGTTGTCTTGGGAGCGTTGTATTGGGGATGCAGTCTTGCTTCTGGTATTTTTTCAATACAATTATAAAACTCCTGTCTTCCACATAGTGTAGTTTAAGGACATCACTCAGTGAGGATTTGTTAGGCACGGTTTTCATACAGAGAGGCTGAAGCTTTGCGTCTTCCTTCCCAGCCCATCTGAGCTGTGCTTTCCACACTGTTCTTTCTGTCCACTCCTCCCAAGTCTTTCTCTTTTCCTGAATACCTATGTAGAACAGCTTTCAGAAGAAACCTTTTGTAGGACTCTGCCCCTGCCTCTTCCTACTATTCACACAGGTAGCCATTGTATTTCCGCTGCTGCTTTTGGCAGCATGAAGATTTAGTGAGGTCCTCCGCGCCCTTAAACCTTCCCACTGAACCTGCTTCCAGCTTTTAATCTCACGCACTCTCACGTGGTTCTCTTCCTTCCATTTGCACTACTCCTGCCTTTACCATAATTGTTGCAGCACAGCAGAACCTAAAGGCTCTTCCTGGCTCCTTGGAATGTGCACCAAAGTACTGCCACAGCAGATTCTTCTCACATCCGTGCCCTTCTGTGCCCCTGGCCCTCAGGCTCCCCGCAACCTGACTCTGATTACAGTGAGAACAGCTGTGTCCGGGACTTACCACCTACCTGGAGCTGGGATGTTTCACACACAGTAGCTCCACTTCCATAGTTCTCATAACAACCCGAGACGTCCAGTCACACTGTGGAGAGAAAACACGCCAAAAGGTGTTTCTGCGTCTTCCTCCAGCCCATCACGCTATGCCCACCCGAGAATGGATCTGTTAGGTGCTAGAACTTGGTTTACCCACCTGCTGCTCGTCCTGACTCTGCTCTTCCAACACCTCACTAAGTACATACTAGTTGCATCCTTCAAGAGGGTGTGCTCACCCCTCAGGAAGAGACTGGAATTCCCAGGTTCTGAGGAACTCAGGATTCCTCACCTACCTCGCAGGCTGCTTAGACGTGAAGCGCATTTTACACTGTCCTCAGCGCTCCAAGGATGGGGTGCAGTTAGTGCAGGAAGGCTAAGTGGTTTCCCCACTCCACTAGGTTTTCCTCTACTTGTTTTTGACAATTTACAGGCAGCAGACACCTTTATCGGTGATGTCAGTTGACTTAGGCACGGCTGTTGATCATAATTACATTGGACTTCCTGTGGTTCTATTTTGTTTGATTTAAAAGTTCTCACTGCTTTTAAAGTACACTAAGTGTTCCAGATGCATCCTCAAGTGCTCATAAACAGTATACCCGTCCGAAACACCCAGCATTATCTTTGAAGGCTACACAAGCACACCAGAGAACACAAGGGCCAAGCCCGTCAGAGGGTAGCACAGAACTGCAAGATCCACGCAAATGGAGGAAATGAAAAGGTTCGGAACAGAAGGGAAACACAAGTAAAGGCAGAAAACTGCATTCTGTTGAAAAGGACTATTGATCACAGCTATCAAGAGCTGGAAGCTTAGAATTCGGTATCCGGGAACCGACTTTTACTTTCTTGTCTTTGGTCTTGCTGGGAAATTTCTTTCCTAGACTCAATAAATGTCATTTTCAGGCCTGAATCAGTTCATCAGCCAGGGGCTCACTCAAATCTTAACAGTTTAACATTTTCCCTGCGTGTTTTATTCAGCACAAAATATTCATAAAAGTCACTTTCAAGAGTCAACTCCATTTTATGGTCATTTACATATCACTCCAGAAGCTTAAAATACGCCTTTTATGACACAAGTTTCATTCTTTCCGAACTAGGCTGCATTTTAACATCTGCCACAAACGACTGTCCCCTGAAGACAGTTATACAAGTTCAAACTCTCGCGCCATTTACTAAGGTGTTGGCTGTCTTTGCTAAAATAAAATTCAGATATTTCTACTTTGGTGACATTGCGTCCCTGTATCCCACCAGGGTGAGCCGCGCTTCGCGTTTCCATCCCCATTTTTATCCTTTCTTCTCAAGTTGGAACCAAATCTCTGATGATATGTGAAATTCTTCTTTTCCCTGGAAAGGTGGTGCAAGGTGCTCTGTCCCTCCCCCAACTTCCGCCAGTTCCCAGGGCCGCGCCCGGCGGCGAGCAGGTATGGGCGGAGCCTGGAGGGGGCGGGCCCGGGAGGCGGGGCCAGCTTCCGCCCCGCCCCCAGGTGTGCGCCCCGCCCCCCAGGTGTGCGCCCTGCCGTCCGCCAGGTGCGGACCTACCGGTTGGCAGCGCGGGCAGGGAGAGTGGCTGCGCTCGTCTGGCCTGCGGACGCCGGGCTGGGGTTTAGAGTTCGGAGGCTCCAGCGCTGGCCGCGCGCGGCTACGGGGCCGCCGCCGGTGTGCAGGGGACCCGCCCTCCGCCGCGCTGCTGCTCGCCGCTCCTCCCCCTGCGCGGCGCCCGCCGCCCCTTCCCGGAGCAGACCTGCGCGGGCGGTGAGTGCGGGCCAGTCCGCGGCGTGCGGGGTCGGGTTCGCGCGGCCTCCCCCTCTGCTCCCGGTCTCTCCCGCTCCAGGCCTCCTAGGGGTGCAAGCGCGCCGGGAAGTTTGCAAAGTTTGCTCGCGGGCGAGGCATGCCGGGAGGGAGCACGGCGCTGCTCTTGGGGTCGCCGGTTCGGTTCCCTGGGGAAGGAGGAGGAAGGGGAAGCCTGGGGAGGAGGACTGGGCTCCCGGGGAAAGTGGGTGTCTCGGATGAGACACCTCGGGCGCCCGCAGATCTGGAGTCGGAGCCGAACGTGAGGGAGGAGGCGGCCTCTCCAACCTGGCCTGGGCAGGTGGTGGAGACCTGTGCTGTGCAGGCTGCTGCCAGCCTGGCTGACTCGGCTCGCGGTTCGCTCCTGGGTGACTCGGCTTGAGAGCCAGTGCTCTAGGGTGCGGTGACCTTACGGACAGCGTGACCCCAGTCTGTCCCGGGCGGGGACTCGGAGGCTTCAGGCGGGTTGTAAGCCGTGTTCACTTGGGGAAGGCCAGGCGGCAGCCAAGGGGTGTGCGAGTGTATGTATGTGCCTGTATGTGGGGGGTGGGGGCGCTGGGATCACCGCGCGTGGAGACCACAGTGCGTTACTGGGAAGAAGAGCCTGGCAGGTTGGGCGCAGCTGTGCTCTTCCCGGCGCTGAGGGTTCTTGTCACAGGACGGAAAGTGCAGCTGAGAACTCCACGGAGCGGAACACTGGAAAAGGGCGCGCTGCTGGCGAGCAGTCAGAGCTCCAGGATGGTGTGCAGCAGCCGGTTTCCTGACGCCGCTTGCTAAAACCTTGCCAGGTTCTTGGCAGGCCCCGCCCTGCCGCCTCTCTCATCCCAACAAGCGGCACAGCCCAAAGGAGAACTGTGACTGATGCTGAATCAGTGCTGACCAGCACTGGGAAAGTGGGGCAGACAGTGCGAGGACATGGAGGGGAAAGCTGGTCCTGTAGTTTTCCAAGGGACTAGGTCTTTGCTTTGTTTCTCTGTCTTCATCCTAGTTCTCATGAGAGAAAGCCCCACACCTCCAGACCATGGATTCCACGCCCTTGCTGTTGCGCTGGAGTGCACGTGTGCCCACTCCTGGGTTGCTGGCTGGTCCCTGCAGAGCCTGCCCTGAGGGAGTGGGTGGAAATTGGCAGGCTCTAGACCACAGGTGCCCAGGATTTACTGTGGGAAGCTTCTCCAGTTGAGCAGTTGCTGAAAGGTATTGCACAGATAGAGACACACCACACCTCTGCTGCTGACTCAGTGATGTCTGGTGTGATTGTGCTTGTCAGTTTAATAGTTTATAACTTTCTAAACTTGGGAGTGAATTAATTTTTATTACTCTTTCTATTATGTCCCCTCCTGTTACCTCAGCCTCTTACAGTTTGAGGTAGAGGTTCACCCACTGAGTGCTCTCCGACTATCAGGTACTCTGCAGCAGCTCACCTTTTGAATGTCTTTCAGTGATGTCAAACAGTGCTGAGTTTCTAAGGTGTAACACTGCTGTACATTTATGTCTGCAGAATCTTGTGGTGAAGCTGTGATCCCAGTAAAGTGGGTGTTTTCTGAAACATAAATCTGGTTGGAGGAGGCCCAGTTAGCTTACTTTGACTAATTATTTATAAAATTACAAGTTGTCCTTGTTTAGCTAGTTAGGTAGCTTGGCAGGTTTGTTTCTTGGTAACTTGCAAAATGTAAGTGTCCCAGGCATGTTTCTCAATTCAGATCTGTTCAGTGCAGTGTTACTGTTAATTCTGAAGTGTACTTTTGCTCACTTGATTTCTAATCTGGAAATAGGTTGCACTGTAAAACTTTTCTGGTGAGTGCATCATTGGGAAATCAAAATACAGCCCTCTTCCTCATGAATGCAGAATTATTAGCAGTGGCCACCAAGGGTACCTTTGGTAGGCTTTTGAATAAACAGTACTGAAGCACCTTTAACAATCAAGGCCACTGATTTTTCTGACACAATCTATGAGAACCCTCCAAGGGAATTCCTTCCTCAAGGTGGGCGGGCTGGTGGGCACAGGTACTGTCTTGATGCAGCCCAGCCCACAGGGGTGGAACAGGTTTTTCAGGAAGGTGGGTGCTGCCAGTCATTGGCAGGCTGAGTGCTAGGTCAGCCCAGCCAGGAGGTAGGCGTTGTGGGAGTTCCTGGGGAGTGGGGTTGTGTGTGTGGTGCTGTGGGGAGCAGGTTGACATTAGATTATTAAGAAATCAAGAGGGCTAGCATGTGCAGCAGGAGAGGTGGACAAGAGGGGAAATACTTAAAGGTTGTTCTCAGTGGTTATGATGCTTTGGGGACTGTGAGTTGGGGTGGAGGTGGGGAGATGATTCCTAGGTGCAGCACAGTCTTTGTACATGGCTGTCTTATAGAGTTCTTCAGTTACATGATCATGGGTGATATGAAGAAAGTTTTCCTCTGGGGACATCTAATTGCTCCCCAATTTCTAGTTTGTTGTTTTACCCTGTCCTTAGAAGTGGAGTTAGACATCTCCTAAGGGCAATGGGCCTTTATGTTTTGAACTAAGTGTCCAGTAATTTGTAGACTACACATCGCTGGGGTAGATAAAGCAGTAATGGTCAGCCTGTCTTGAATTCTGGCTTTGGGTCAGGTGTAATCACTATGCTGCTGACAGAGGCCTGTTTTAAATTACTTAGGTGAAACTTTTGCAGTAATGGTGTGGTCTAATGGTATCACTTACGCTGTTTTACCCACTCACTAAACATTCACGATGATGTTCTGAACAAGATACTGTTCATGTACCTGCACCTTGAAACCATAAACTCAAGTATCACATGGTTTCCCATATAATTTGAAAAGCAAATTTAGAAGATAGATAACAGGAAGAGAGATCTTTTGCAAATGGAAAAGAGATCTAGAGATGACAGGAGGCAAGGAAGGGAAGGGAAGGCAGAAGAATCCAGACATGTTACGGTCACCACCAACTCGCTGCAATGAACGCAATCATTATGTGCAGCAAACAAGACTAACAAAACTTCAGAAGCTCATGGCTAAAAATGATTGTGAGTGCACAGAGACATGAGTGTATCAGGTTCATTAATTTTCTTTATATTCTCCAAAGGCCCTTGAACATACTGGATGTGTTCATTAGTCATTTGTGAATGTGAATATCTAGATTTTGGACAAAGTACTTGAATCCTGCTGATCTCTCGGGTTTTCCCACTAGCACAAGGAAAGGTTTGGATTATGTGATCACTCCCTCGTCCCACCCTGCTCTGAAATTCTCTGCAATTGCTTTTGATTGAGGGCACCATAAAATAATGGTAAGTAAGGTCTCCCCGCAGTATTACTGGCAATCTCATTCTTCCCACTTGGGTTGTCAGCTTTTCATTTCAGAGGGTTTGGGTTGTCCATTTAAACAGGTTGCTTTTCTGACTGTATAAGCATTACTCAGTTGGGGGAAGAAATGGAGGTTTTCAGAGCAGGCAAGAGTGGCGTGTCCCGCCCCATGGCTGGATTAGTCATTCACTGGGACTTCTGTCTGAGCTGTCATTTACAACATGCACGGGCAGCATCGCCTTTCAGTCCTAATAGCACATTGCTGCAGCTCCTTCGTCTTCTCTGACTCACTCATCCTTGCTTTGTGGCGTTTTGAAAGAATTGTGTGTTCCTCAAATAATAATGGAGCTTTATGATTATTTTCTGGAGAAGGGTGCGACATGTTTTTAGAGCTGACTCTGCCCTGTGATTCCTTTTTCACTCTCAACTCTTTTGTCTTTCTTGCCCCTTCTTACCCTTCTACCCTTTTCTTTTCCTTCCTTTCCTCTTGCATGCTTTTCTTCTCATTTGTTTTTTCTACATGTTCCCTCTTTCTATCTCCTCTTTCTTTTCTTTTTGTATCCATTCATAGTTTTCCTTCTATTTCCTATTTCTATCTGTCTATTTGTTCATCCATTCACTTATTTATTGTTATTATTTCTGTCATCTCTACAGTGGAGTTCTCTAATACATTGTACGTTTCTAAGCATCTAAAATCAAATTTATATGCATGTCAAATAATAAACATATATCATACTAGGATTTTTTTTTTTTTTTTGAACTAGGGACTGAACTTACACCTCTGAGCTAAGTTCCTCATCCAAAATTTTACCTGGTTTTCTTTTTTCCATTTTATAGAAACTTTATTCTTAATGGCTGAAATATAATCATACATTAGCTTTGAATGATAAATGTAGTATTCAACCATTTCTAGTATTTTATATACAAAAAATTATTCCTTTCTTTCTCAATAGAATATGTGTTCAGTGAAAACCTAATTAAAGCTAAAAACTTTCCTGTTTTGGTAGGTCTTCTCAGTTCCATTTTTGCGTTAGTTATATTCAGCTTATGAGATAAACATTATTAAAATCAAGACCTTAGTTTTTCCATTTGCCAAGAGGGTGTGGCGTCAGTTGAAGTATTTGGAAGTTGATGGATTGAAGACTGGAATTATCATAGAATATGATATTGAGAGTTTAGGGACTGTGTAGGAAAGTCCAGGCTGTTTAAAGATCAAAAGTAGGAGGTCACTTGTACACATAATTGAATTTTCTTTTTAAAAAAATCTCAGCAGGAAAACAGAACTGAAGAAAATTAAAATTGCAAAATATTTCTACAACTCCTGTCTTTGCTCTATGGAATAAAACCATCAATCCTTCTACATGGAAAGTGATAAAAAAATGTCTTATTGCAAAAAAACACCAGTTTGTATTGTACAAGGCCAATTCTTATACATTCAGGTTGAAATCCATTCTCTGAGAATCACTGTCACTAGTTAAATTCATAATCAAAGCCATAAATGAGTCCTATTATTAAAAATAGGATTTTCAAGCTACTTGAAAATCTTTGTTTATATAGTTGAATTTCTTCTATGTTGCATGTTATATGTTGTGTGTAGATGACTTAGAATAAGAAATGCTAGAGAAAAAGAGGGTAAAATCTCTCCAAGGTCATTGGATCCAAAATATGATTCCAGAAAGCTGAGC